TTTTTTCCCTTATTTCTCTCTCTGTGAGTCTGTTGTTTGTGTATAAGAAGGCTATTGATTTTTGGGTATTCACCTTGTATCCAGATACTCTACTGAATCTGTCAATTAAGTCTAGAAGTATTTTGGTGGAGTTTTTTTGATCTTCAATGTAGAGTGTCATACCATCAGCAAATAATGACAGTTTAACTTCTTCCTTTCCTATCTTTATTGCTTTAATTTCTTTCTCTTGTCTAATTGCTGTGGCTAATGTTTCCAGACCTATATTAAAGAGAAGTGGTGATAATGGGCATCCTTGTCTTGCTCCTGATTTTTACATGAAGGTTTTCAGTTTTTGGCCATTCAATATGATGTTGGCTGATGGTTTTTCATAGATAGCCTTTATTAAATTGAGGTATAGACCATCTCTTCCAATTTTTTGTAGGGTTTTTATCATGAATGGGTGTTGAATTTTATCACATGCTTTTTCTGCATCTATTGAGAGGATCATATGGTTTTTGTCCTTGACTTTGTTAATATAATGTATTACATTTATTGACTTTCGTATGTTGAACCACCCTTGCATCTCTGGAATAAATCCAACTTGGTCAGGATGGATGATCTTCTTAATAATCCTCTGTATTCTGTTTGCTAGTATCTTATTAAGGATTTTTGCATCTATATTCATTAAGGAGATTGGTCTGTAGTTCTCCTTTTTAGTTGTATCTTTCCCTGGTTTGGGAATCAAAGTGATACTTGCTTCCAGGAATGAATTTGGAAGTATAGCTTCCCTTTCAATTTCATTGAAAAGTTTGAAGAGTAATGGCAGTAGTTCTTCTCTAAATGTCTTGTAAAATTCAGCAGTGAATCCATCAGGGCCTGGGCTTTTCTTTGTTGGTAAATTTTTAATTACATTTTCAATTTCATTGACTGTAATTGGGGTGTTTAAAATGTTTTTATCTTCTTTGTTCAACTTTGGTAATTCGTAAGTATCTAAAAATCTGTCCATTTCTTCTGTGTTTTCCATTTAATTGGAGTACATGTTCTCAAAGTAAGTGTTCATGATCCTCTCGATTTCTTTTGGATCTGTTGTGACTTCGCCTTTTTCATTCCTGATTGCATGGATCTGAGCCTTTTCTTTCCTTTTTTTGATAAGATTAGCTAAGGGTTTGTCGATTTTATTTATTCTTTCAAAAAACCAGCTCTTTGTTTCATTTATTTTTTGTATCGTTTTCTTAGTTTCAATTTTATTGATTTCTGCTCGGATCTTTATAATTTCCTCTCTTGTTCGAGCTTTGGGTTTTTCTTGCTCTTGTTTTTCTAGGAGTCTAAGTTTCATCATTAAGTTGTTTATTTGAGTGTGCTCTGTTTTCCTAGTGTGGGCATTCAATGTTATGAATTTTCCCCATAGAACTGCTTTTATTGTGTCCCAAAGATTCCTGTATGTTGTATTGGCATTCTCATTTATTTGTAAAAACTGTCTAATTTCTTCTTTAATTTCCTCTGTAATCCATTGATTGTTTAGGAGAGTATTGTTCAGTTTCCATGTGCTTGTGAAGGTTCTATAGTTTCTTGTGCTATTGATCTCCAGTTTGATTGCACTATGATCTGATAATATACAGGGGATGACTTCAATTTTTTTGCATTTATTTAGACCTATTCTGTGAGCCAATATGTGGTATGACCTGTTTTTTAAAATTAATCGGCACATTTTAGATATACAATATAATGACATTCATCCTTGGAAATTTTTACCTTTATGTAATCTATCTTGATCCTTATTTTTCTCCATTACCCTGCCCTCCCTTCAACCCGTCCACCTCTCCCTATTTACAAAGACTTTGTTTCCCTTTTTTTCCTTTTCTCATATTAATTCCATTCCCTCTTTCTTTTCCCCTATGCCTTCCACTTCCCCTTCCCCTTTGCCCCTTTTCTTTGTATTTCATATTATCTACTATATTATTATTTAAGTGAGGAAATGAAGAGCTAATTGAAGCATTAAATAAGCTTTGTCTTTTTCTTTTTTCTACTTTAGATTCTCCACACAGAATCACTTCTCGGCCTTTTGGCTAAGATCAAATATAGATTCTCCACACAGAGAGCTGATATTGACAGTATTGAAAAAAATTTTTTTTTGGTACTGGGGATTGAACTCAGGACCTTGTGCTTGCCAGGCAGGTGCGCGGAGCCACTGAGCTAAATCCGTGGCCCTGACAGTATTGAAAATTTGCATTCTGATCTATTTCTTTTGATGATAATGAACTCTATTTAAACCACTTTTATTTTTATTTTATTATTATTATTTTTTAAATGCTTGTTTATTGCAAGTCTTTTTTTTTTTTTTTTTTTTGTGCTGGGGATCGAACTCGAGTCCTTGCGCTTGTGAGGCAGGCCACCGAACCGCTGAGCTAAATCCCCGGCCCAATAACTTTTTTAAAAGTGTGATATGAAATTTATGTTAAAGTAAGCACTGTTTTAGTTTGTACTCTGCATGTCTAAGATGCTTTTATGCAAAAAAATTACAATTTATTAGCAAGCAATCTTGGACAAATTCTGTAAGCTTGCTAATTCTCAGTTTCCTTGTCTGTGAAATAGGGTGGTAATTCCACATTTAAGGAATATGAAATGCAAGATCCTGGTTAGTAATTTAACACATTTTGCTTTCTTTGTGACAGCTTAGTTTCTGTCTTTGTTTATTTGCTTTTTGCAGTGCTAGGGATTGAACCAATTGGCCTTGTATATAGTAGGCAAGCACTCTACCAATGAACTATATATCCCAACCTTCAGTTCTGCCTTGTATTTGCTTGTCAACTTGCTAATGTATATAGTATATGCACAGGCTTATTTATTCCTGGACTTCTCTGGAACGGTCACATACTGACATCTTATTCTCTCTGTCTCTCATTGTTATTATTTTGGCAGTGCCGGGGATTGAACCCAGGGCCTCATATACACTAGGCAGGTAATCTACTACTGAGTCATATCCTCAGTCCTTTTTATTTTATGTTGAGACAGGGTCTGGCTAGTTTCCCGGGCTGCCCTTGAGTGTGCCATTCTGTTCGCTCAGCCTTCTGGGTAGTTGGTATTGTAGATGTGCAGAATGGACTCAGCCAGACTGCTGATGAGAGAATTTTAATAAACTGTACACTGCATTTCTTTTAGTTTCACAAGCAATCTTTGACCCAAACACCAGGACGAGAACTTTCTACTCCCCGGGTACAGAAGAGGGCCCGTTCACGCTCCTTCAGTGGGCTTATTAAGGTGGGTATGCTGTGCTGTCTTTTTCGGTATTGAATGTGAGGAAATTTAAGTCTGCCTCTTTTATTTTTGTTGTTTGTTTTTTTATGGCAGAGTCCCACTATGTAGTTCAGGCTTGAACTCACTTTGCAGCCTGGGCTGGCCTGGAACTTATGGCAGTCTTCCTCCCTCAGCCTCCAAGTGCGGGGAGTGCAGGCTTGTGCTACTAAGCCCAGCATGTCTCGCTTTGCCCCACCCCGCTCTTCTCTTTTCTTTATCTGTCTGTCTCTCTACCCCCTTCTCCTCTCCCCTCCCCCTCACTTTTTTTTGTCCTCTAAATTTTGAGTTTAATTTTTATGTAATCTAACAGTGCTGGAAAAAGTCATTATCCCTCACTCTTTTTGAGATATTGTCTCCTTGATCCTGGCATGGTGGCGCACGCCTGTCATCCCAGCACTCAGGGAGCTGAGGCAGGAGGATTACTGTGAGTTCGAGACTAGGCTGTGCTACATAGTGAGCTCCAGGTAGGTCTCAACTACATAGTGAGACCCTGTCTCAAAAAACCCCCCAAAAAAAGATGTAATATTCTTGTGTAGTCCAGAGTGGCGTTAAGCTCACCATGTAGCCTAGGCTGGTCCTGCATTTACAACCCTCCTCCTTCCATCACCTGAGTGCTGGAATTGTAGGTGTGCACTGCCATTTTTGGCATATGATTGACTTTTATAATGCATGAAACATTTTCTTCTGTTCCTAAGGATTCTGTAGGGGGTTAATAAGACAATAAAGATAGAATTTGCAAAAGCTTTTTTTTCAAAGCATTTTGCTGTGTTTCAGATCAGAGAAAGGACTCTAGGAAATAAAAGAAATAGAGATCCTTCCTCCTCTTCTGGGGCTGAGGACAGAAGTCTTATTCCAATATACACAGTGTCTTTTACTTTCTTTGTTTTATTTTATTTTATTTTATTTTTTGGTATTGGCAATTAAACTCAACCTTGCACATGGGAGGCTGGAGCCCTGCCACTGAGCTAAATCCCTGGCCCTCTCTTTTACTTTCTGACCTACCTTGCACTACATCCTTCTTTATGCAAATTGACAAACCTATAGAGAAGTGAGGAAGTTAAGAGACTGGGAAAATTGTTAGAAAAATGGATTTTAGTAAGCTTAATGTTTTAATTGTTGTATTCCCTTCCCTCGTATCAAATGTATTAAAAATGTTTTTAGAATGAGTACAATTTTGTGCTACTGATGACATCACTGCAGATTCAATTTACAGGTTGTTGACAGTCTGAACTTGTAGTTAAGGAATATTGCCATCAGGTGGCAGTAGGTAACTTGGTTGTGGGGTTCAGATTTCCATGCACAAACTTACAAGCAGATTCTGGTTACTTGGACAGAGATTAGCACTTTTCAGTGTTCTACTATTTTTCTTTCAAAAATTGTTTTAACATTAGTAAGATATATACATCCAGCAACACTGCAACCCTTTGATTAAAACTTTAAACTTGTCTTAAAAAATGAATGCCTTGAAATTCTTTTTTTTTTTTAAGCAGCAACTGTTAGCAGTTCCTTTTTTTTCTTTCTTTTGGTTTTTTGAGACAGGGTCATGTTGCAGAGCCTAGCTTCAAACTCATAATCTTCCTTTTTCAGCCCCCCTAAGTGTTGGGACAACAGGCATGACCCACCAATCCTGGTTCTGCAAATTCCCTTAACTCTAATTTTGGTCCTTGTTATTATCATTTCTGGGAGTCTAGTGTTCACTCTGGTTTTGATCTGCTGGGGCCAATAGCTTCTGGGATGTCAGGTTTGTTTGACATCAAAATTTCCTTTGCTATCAACAGAGTGAAAAGGCAACTCATGGGACAGGGGAAAACATTTGCAAATCATATATCTGATTGGGAGTTAATATCTAGAATATAACTTCGCAGCAGAAGAAGTCCTGTGACTCCATAGCATGAAAACAACCTCATTAAAAGATGGGCAAAGGACTTACGTAGATGTTTTTCCAAAGGTCATATACAAATGACAAGACACACATGAAAACATGCTCAGCGTCACTAATCTTAAGAAAATATAAATCAAAACCACAGTGAGATACCATTTCATGCTCCCTAGGATGGCTATCATTAGAAAAAACAGAGAATAACGAATGTTGATTAGGGTATGGAGAAATGCAAATCTTACCCTGGTTAGAAGGTAAAATGGTACAGGTGCTGTGGGAAACCATACGACAGTCTTTAAAAGAATTAAAAAATAGGTTTACCTTATGACTCAGCAATTCCACTTCTGTGTATACTCAGAAGAATTAAAAGTGGGATCTTGAGGAGATATCTGTTCAATGCTTATAGCAGCACTGTTCATAGTAGCCAGCAGGTGGAAGCAACCCAACTGTTTGTTATTGAATAAGCAAAATGTGGTATATACAGACAATAAAACATTATTGATCTTTAAAAGGAAGGAATTTCTAACATGTTATAATATGGATGGACCTCGAAGACAGTATGTCAGTAGAATAAGTGAGTCACAAAAAGGTAAATATTGTACAATTCCACTTATACTAGGCACCTAGAATGATAAATTCATACAGACAGAAAGTGGAATAGAAGTTGTCAGCATCTAGCGTGTGAAGGAGATAGGGAGTCACTTAATAGGTATAGAGCAGTGCTGGCAAAGCTATGGGACACATGTTGTTCCTTTTAAGACAAAAGTGCTAATATATGAGTTGTTTCTTTCTGAACTAAAACCTAAGTATTCAGGTTTAATTGCAGTGTTAGCACTTTGTGATAAGTAAGTGGGTTTTGGGTTGCAGTTTGGGCACTGCAGTCATCTCTTAAAGATTCGCCATCGCTAGTGTAGAGTTTCTGTTTGAGAAGAGAAAAAGAATTATGGACATAAATGGTGGAGTGATTGTTGTACAACTCTGTGAATATACTTAATGCCACTTAAAAATGGGCAAAATGGTACATTTTATATATATTTTTCATAGTTTAAAAAATTCCCTTTACTAGGATTTTAGAAGTACATTCATCTGTTCAGATATGGCTAGTATAAAATGAACAACCTTCGTTTATTACATTTTTTCCTTCTTAGTTGGAAAAGTCTGTCATTCCCTGTTATAAAAATTATTGATAAAAGTTATGTCAAATAAGGGTTTCTTTAACTGAAGATAGATGGTGTAGTTTTTTACCTCAGTGAACTCTTCTGCTATTAGCTTTAGGTGTATTGGCTAATTAATGCTTGAAATGTAAATGGATAGTATCCTCCTTGGCTGCTGCCCACTTCTTTGCCAAGACAATTCAGAACTTCAGAATTCATAAAAGCTTATAATTCTCTCAGTATAAAGCATTTTGGAACAACAACTTAATTTTTTTATTAACATTATTACTAGTTTTTGAGGTAGAGTCTTGCTGTTTTTTTCAGGGTGGCCTCGAACTCATGATCCTCCTACCTCAGCCTCCCAGGTGCTGGGATTACAGGCATGTGCCACCACTCATGGCTTAACATACTGAGATTTTTGAGCTGATAACTAGGTGTAGGCTTTGCTTAGTAGCTCTGCAGTGGAGTAATTAGATTTTTTTTTTTTTTTTTTTTTTTTTGGTACTGGGGGTTGAACTCAGATCCTTGTGCTTGTGAAGCAGGTGGTGGATTCACTGAGCTAAATCTTTGGCCCTAATGAGATGTTTTTTAAACAGTTCATTGCAAGCTTTATAGCTAGTCCTGTGGCACTCCTACTTCAGCATCTTCTCAGGTGATACCTGATTTCTGAAAGGAAGATATGGTGTTTGTATTTTTTTCCTAGCATTTCTGTTTTTGCTATTTGATTTCTATCCTTTATTTAAAAATAAAAAATTATCCCATCTCAGCTTTATTAATATACAATTAACAATCTATCCTGCTTTGATCTTTTTGGCTATATTTTTTTCCTCCAGAATTCCTCATGTAGATTAATTTATTAAATCAGAATATCCTGAATATTGGTGTTGATATTTATAATGTAGAGTTAATGTTTTAGTTTTTGCATGTTCTTTTTTTGGAACTCAGATTTATTCTTTGAAGGGAAAAAAAGGAAGATTTCTCCAAAGATGGTAAAATTGTCACGGTCAGCTGTTAAGTAGGTTACATCAGCTTCTAAACTGTTCAGAGATGAAAAGGCTTTTAGTCTTGCTCTGAAAAGCAGTATAGTCATGTGATCCTGTTAAGAAGGCCTGTACCCTCTTGTGACTACTATATTGGGATCTCATAGAATTTCTCCAGATGCTCCATTTCTGTGTGAGGAAATGACAGGGAAACAAAATCTTAGAGCAAAACAGGCTTTAGTGGGGAGGGGGAAGGGACTCTTAACAGCTACCAGAGGCAACACACTTTGGGGAAAAAAATCTACATTGGTAAGTAACTGATATTTCTTTTATGGTTTCAGAGGAACATTGCAACTGGCCTGTATTAGCTCATTTAAATTAACCATAAAGTTGCTTCTAATGTCTAAGTTTTTTAAGTATGTAGGAAAGTGATTATTTACAGAAAAGCAATGATTTCAGGTGTTTTAATACATGCTTGGCATTTTTATGAGATGGAGGGAGAGTACATATAGAAGTTGTCAGAATGCTGTTTTTTGTTTTTTTTTAAATTAATTTTACTAGTACATTCTAGGTATACAATATAATGACATTCATCTTGGAAATTTGTACCTTACAAAATCTATCTTGGTTCTTATTTTTTCCCCATTCCCCTCCCCTCCCTTCAACCCCTCCACCCCTCCCTATTTACAAAGACTTTATTTCCATTTTTTCCTTTTCTCATATTAATTCCATTCCCTTCTTTCCCCTACCCCTCATACATCCCCTTCCCCTTTGTTTTGTTTTTTCTTTTTTGGTACTGGGGATCAAACTCGAGACATTGTGCTTGCAAAGCAGGCATTGGAACCCCTGAGCTAAATCCCCGGCCCTTCCCTTTCCCTTTGGACCCTTTCTTTCTATTTCACATTATCTGTTATTCCTTTAGATCCTTATTTACACTTTCAGTTTCTCACACCAGAGAAACTATTTGGTATTTACACATGTGTGTCCTATTTATTTCACTGAAGAGTATCACCTCAGTGTGCATCCATTCAGCTATAAATGTCTCCAATTTCTTTATGGCTGAGCAGTACTCCATTTTATTTTTTT